TCAGAGAGATCGCCAAACGAAAGTTCCTGACCCAGACTCGCTGAAACACTCAAGTGTAGAAATTGAGATCAAGATGGGAAGAAGCATCAAAAATCGCTGGAGTTCCTGACATTGGTAAAGAATTAGCAAAGAAAAACACGGAAAGAGCCGATCTTTCCCAACCATCAACCTCTACAGGCATAACTCATGCTAATTTTTGGGACAAGAGTAGTCAAGACGAATTAATCTGGTCAGATGATGAAAGACAAACAGAAAAGGAGATTCGAGGAGAAAAAGCAATTGCAGCTAAAGTATCAACAGCAGAGGATAAAGAACTGCTGCCTGAAAAAGACTATCCTGAGTTATGGGAAGAAGCTCGAGCCTCAGGTCAAGCAAAAGCCTCGAATCAACCACAAGTTCGTGATTACGGAATTGAGTCAGAGGAAGATGAGGAATGGGAAGGAGCCGCTCCTGCCCTGCCAAATCAACCAAAGACTGTTAATCGAGATCTTCCGGCATCAATGTTTCCAGCAAAAGTCAGGAGAAATGAGCGTTGGTCAATTGATGAAATCAAAAGGAAAAGAGAGTTGAATTTTGAAACTAGAAAGAAACGAATTCACAGACGCAAACATGATTTGAACAGACTCGAAAGAGGCAAACCTCGAAATCAAACAAAGAAAAGACAGGAAACTTTAGACCGATTCATCGCTGAAAAATCCAATCCTGGAAATGCTTTCTCTCTTGATGGTAATGTTCATAAAGAACGAATCTCAACAGCAATTCAAAGTTTTAAGAAAGAAGGAATAAAAATTTGTGCACTTGATGTTGAGAAATGTCAAATTATAACACTTCAAGGTGTTGTCCAGATGCCTATCTGGGTCACAATCATGGACATGGAAGGAGAAGTAAAATTTAATGAAGTAATTCGCTATCCCAAAGACTCAATTAAAGACTTAATGACTGAGTTTCATGGTATAACCTGGGAAATCATGCAAGCAGCTAAACATGTTGAAAATGTTAAAAGAAGAATGGTTGACTTATTGATGGATTATGATCGTATCATTGTAGCGAGTGGAAGCAATGACTTTAAATCATTTGGATTTAGCCTCGAGGATTGGGAAGTTTTACAACCACCCCATCAGAGACGTCAATTATTACTACAATTGTTATGCCAAAAATGATCAAATTGGGTTAAAATTCATAATTTTTGCCATGTTTGCTAAGATCATTCAAGAAGGACAGCACTCACCTATGGTAGACGCAGGATTCACTTTACTAGCATACCTCATTGATTATGAAAAATTTGAAGAAACTCATCGAGAAGCAATGATAGGAATTTTTAAGCCATTCCCTCAAGTTAAATATCCACCGAATAGACAATTAGCAAAACTAATTCTGAACATTATGAATTTACTTGGCGATTGGCCGGAACAATTGAAAAAGAAGACTTATGGACGTGCAAAACCATTTAATCGAAATAATTTGGTCGAACCAGCAACAACTTTAAGACCTCCATACAACATGAGAAGAGAAGATTTCTTGCAATTTCAAAGACGAAGGATTCAAGCCCCGTAAAAATTATGACGACCCAAAGAGCTGAAAGAAGACGTTATTTAGGAGGCGTTAAATCGACGAACCTGGCCGGTATTTTGTGATACCATTCCAATCCGCCGATTGTTTTCGACACCCTAATTAACGCTTTGGAAGGGGGCTCTGTAAGGGGAATAGATAAAGTTAAAGGAAGGGGAAAGCATAACTGCTTTCCAATGAATCAAACTTTATTAAACCAATTAACTTGTATTGTTTAAGATAAGATTAAGAAAGACTTTGATTGAGATTTGTATAAAAGTGAAGGAACCGCTCCTTCACACACACATGTATTAGATGTACAATTAAGTACACATCAGTATTAATTTCATTTTATGTTAACCTTTAAAAATTATGTTTAACTAAACTCATTTACTAACCTCCAGTGTAATCTGAACTCTAACACTTTAACCTTTATATCTGTATCTGTCATTTGGTTCTAAATTCTGAGTCTTTAAATAAAAGTCTTTACATCTAAATCAGTTTCCCTATTTTGGTCCTTTGTTCTGCTGTTTTGATTATTTTGTGCTTTTAATCTGTGAGCCTGTTCCCTACACTGATGATGGTTGTTGCTGATGCTCGTGGTTGATTTCTTCTGTTGCTGGTGTTGGTGGTTAGCGTCGAAGCTGGTGATTCAAACTGCGAATAATGTTGATAAACACAATGGGTTACAAACACAACACACAATAAATCCAATGGGTAATCACAAGCACAATGAAGAAATGAAAAATATTAATACGAACTAATCGGATTAACGTTACGAGTTTACATTACCTTAAACAATGGTCCAGTTCGAAATGTCCTGAAAGATAAAAAGAATCAAGATGATTAATATTAGAGCAATCGAAAACCTTTTATGGTAACATAGTTCGGGTGGATTCCGACAGATGGCAGCACATACGATCGGTCAAGGATATGATGAAGGCCTACGCCCTAAGTTTTGGTCAAGATCGGTCAATGCGTTTAGAAGTTATTGTGAAAAGGGCAACATGGCGGACGATGAAATGAAGTATTGGATGTTAGGTTTGTTTAAACGAGGCTGGTCATTCAAGGCCATAGTCGACGAAATGAAAAACGCGTATCAGGGTAATTGCCCCAGTGACCCAACATTACAGTACTGGTATCATCAATTCAAATGTGGTCGCACCAGTGTGGAAAAACCATCAAAAGGCGGACGTCCTTTGGAAATTGACTATTCCACTTTAGTGCCCAAGGTCAAAAAAGCCCTTAAAGAGAGACCGCACCGTACCTCTTCCAGAACTTGCGGCAAGGTTCAACGTTTCTCCTAGTACCATGTTTTCCATTGTTAAAGAACATGTAGGGGCTAAAAAGCTCACTCCAACAAACATACCACACGTTTTGAATGACCACCAAAAACGGTCTCGTGTCAATGCATGTGCAGCGTTTCTTTCGACTTATAACAGGCAACCCAATGCGTTTTTAGCATGTATTTTTACTTGTGATGAAACCTGGCTATCAATATATGAAACTCTATCAAGAACCGAATCAATGAAATGGGTAACAAGCCGGGAGCAGCTGTCCAAGAAGCCAACTTCGCAAAGAAACGACGCAAAGGTAATGGCAAATGTTTTCTGGGATAGCCGAGAAATCATCAAGATTTTTTGGATGCCTCCTGGTCAAACTGTTAATGGAGAAGTTTATCGCAATCAATTGAGAGAAATCGCCCCATTAGTAGGACCCAGAAGGCCTCCAAACGTTAGAAGAAAGCCACTCTTCCTGCATAACAATGCACGGCCACATGTCGCTGAAGAAACAATGCAGTTAATCCAGGAATTAGGATGGGGACTAATCCAACATCCACCCTATTCACCAGATCTAGCCCCCAGCGATTATTTTCTGTTTAAAAATCTTAAACAATATCTCAGGGGACGACGTTTTGAGTCCATTTCAGAGCTGATTGCCGAAACCGAGGCGTATTTCGCAAGTCAGCCCGAATCTTGGTACCGGGCCGGAATTGCTGAATTACCGACGCGATACCAACGCTGTCTGGCCTCTAGGGGCGATTATTTGACATAAAAAATGATAATAAACATTTACATCTATGTTACCATAAAAGGTTTTCGATTTCTCTAATAAAAGAATAGAAATTATCAGTAACTTACTAATCAAGTAAATGCGTTAAGCAAGAAGTTTAGAAAGTTTAAAAAGAAGGTGTTCGGCCGAACGATGAAATGAAACTGAAATAAGAATCGTCCTTTTCTCTCTGTAGTTTCATTCGGCCGCCCATAAACCAGATTTTTCTTGTTATTTTACATTCCACAGTGTACCTTTACATGAATAAACGGTAATCAATTGTTAGAATGCAATGAAACTGTCACTTCGTTCTGTATCAAAATTGCAACGATATCCATGATTGATTATAACGATTCACTTTGAGGAGCTTCACAATACTGAAAGAAAGATTTAGTTTGCTCCTCAGCGTGACCATCCTCTTTTAATCTTCTCATAGCTTTGAAGATGCAAAAAGTAATTAAGGTTGCTCATCTTTCGCAAAAATGTTTCAAAAAGCAATTTAAGGAAAGCTAAATCTTCCCTGCAGGGCTTTCCCATAGAATTTGATTAATGTTGATCGTTAAATTTACTTTAACTTTCTTAGTTACAAAAGTAATTAAAGTTAAGAAGTTTATCCCTCTTGAATAAGTTTTGATGGACGATTAAAGTTAAAAATAAGTGAATGCAAGGCAATAACCTTATTTAATTGCATTACATCATTAATCATGGAAAATTTAAGGTTAATCGCTGTTTGTATTACCAAAGGTAAGAATGCATTGTAAAAGGTACAATAATCATTAATATCAATCAAACTTATCTATTATCAAAGGTACGAGTGCATTTAACAAGGTAAGTTAATTATAACGGTATAATTAAGGTCATTTCGATATTTGCATTGTCAAAGGTACCTATACATTAACAAAGGTATAAAAATTATAAATCAATATCGATTATCGAAAAAGAGTGCTATCTTGTTTATTTCTATTACTACTGTAGACAAAAATATAAACAAATAAATTTATCAATAAATCGTCATCTTTATCAAAATTTAAGATAAATTATACTTTTTATCTGCAACACCCTTTAGTTATTTTTCCGTCGATATCTCAGAAAGTATAAATCTGACCGTTAAATGAGTTCAATGAAATCAGCGCGTGCAATTTATATGAAAATTTTATTAAAAAAATTTTAGAGATGTGCAATTTTCCCTATTCTTTTGGTCTTTATCCTTAGCGATTCATCTTGTATTTGCTGATTGGTGGCTAATCAATGGCTAATCAGCAAGGTTATCACCTTAATATGCACTTCTGAATCTTAAAGAGTTATATTATCTATTGAAAAGACCAACTGAAACAGTTATCAACGTGTCTCTCTATTGAAAGTTTTCACTAACAAGGTTTGTAAGGTGTTTTGTAACACGTCAATATTGTCTCAATCTTGGCTTTACTCTGACCATTGAATATCAATGATAATTATCAATTATTGTTGATAGGTTTTCTGATAATTGTTAATGAATTAAAAACACTAATCTTTCACTGAGCCAGTATTGATCCTAATAGCAAACTTTGTATTTAAAATCACACCTTTATGTAGCTATAAATGATGAGCCTTGACGAATACTTGATTGAATTTAATCAAAGCTTTCAGTTGTTTATTAAAAAGCGTTAATTGGAAAAATTTTCATGGTACAGCACCAGTTTCAGATTGGTTATCGTTAATTGAACGATAAATGCTACAACAAAAGTTGATACATGAATTGGAATCACTTGATTCATTGGTTATCACCAAATCGATGTCCTTGACAAATGAAAGTATAACAATTTAATTTTTAACTTTTACTGATTAGCTTTGAAAGACAGTTATTTTTGAATATTCTGGTAATTCAGGTGAAGAGAGAAAAAAGTTACAGGAAGAAATGCGATGATGAAGATTAAGTAATTTTCAAAGTGTAAATAAACACGTTTGGTGATGATTCAAGTGGCAGCAATTGTCAAACAAGATAGAGAGATGATAAATCTCTTGACTCTTTATTTCATTATTATTGCTCACTTAAATGTTTCTTTTTGTATCTCATTTCATTTTCAACTTTTTAATCTGTTTTGCGATAATTTTCAATATCATAATGTTTATGATATTATAAATATTACATGATAGACCTACTGTCACAATTAGTACCTGCAAAATTAAAACACTTTGGTTCAGGTGAAGTTGGCCACAGTATCTCAACACACATCTTTTCATTTGTTGTTATTTATAAATAGTTTTCAATTATTTTGTTCAGTCGAATGATAAAACGAATCGATTTGTCCTTTTCTTCAAAATGTCATCGGATCAACCCTTTTTCATGTATACAGTTTCGTTCCTGTCTGCCATCGGAGGTTTCCTCTTTGGTTATGACACTGGTATTGTTTCTGGAGCCATGGTCTTGATCAGAAAACAGCTGGATCTGGACGACGTTTGGCAAGAGTTGATTGTTAGTATAACCATTGGTATGGCTTGGATATTTAGTTCCATAGCTGGCTTTTTTACTGATCGTTATGGTCGACGTCCAGTTATTTTGTTAGCTTCTGCTATATTCACTGCAGGTTCGGTAGTTATGGCATTCGCAATGGAAAAATGGTCGTTACTTATTGGTAGAGCGATTGTCGGTGTTGGCATTGGTTTGGCATCCATGGTAGTTCCCATGTATATAGCGGAAGTAGCTCCTGATGAACTTCGTGGATCTCTTGTGATGATAAATAATTGTTTCGTAACTGGTGGACAATTTATTGCCTCTGTAATCGCCGGTATATTAAGTTATTTTGACCATGACCTAGCTTGGAGGTAAGAGTCAGTTATTTTTCATGAATTAATATTTTATTCATCACTGAAAAAGGATTCAACTTGAATAATTCAAATCAATTTACTTACCAGTATTTCGCAGTACTTTTGTAGCCTTAAGAGGGAACCACTAATCAAGTTGAACTTGTTACACAACTAGAGAGATAGATTTACCTTTACTACTTACTTTAGGAACAGAGTTAAGTGAAGAAACCAGACATTAATCTGTGGGAAAATTTTCTGTCTAGACTTTGGTCTCTTTATTTTTCATCAAAATGCATTTACCAGTTTAGGTACCAAAGGTTACCCATTAATCATCGACCTAATATTTGACTTAATCAATGTAAATAATCCAGTCGAAAAAAGCTTGAACAAAAAGTTCCAATAACCATTTTACCATGATATGTAGCTATGATATTACCAGCTCAGTATCTTAGCCATTGCTTTTTTACAAAAATCACAAAAAAATCTTTAACTTGAAAGCTTTTTCTTTTCCTATGATTTGTTTAGTTTCATAAAAATGTAACCTTGATTTTCAGCAATGGATACCATGAAATTATAATCAATCTGATTGGACTTTCATAGACATGAAAAATTTCGTAATTTTTCATGTAAGTCCAGGAATTTTTAATGTGTTTCTTCTTAAACACGATTCTCCGTAGCTCAGTGAATCAATGAATTTTGTCACACATTCAAAGACTGATAAGATGATTTGTGGTTAAAAATTGAAAATCATTGAATTGATTTCAACGTCTTTTTTCTGGTTTTTATTCACAAAGCATCACTATAATTATCATGACATTATAACATAGAATTACTTTTTTGCTTGATAACATTACGATTAGCAAATTGTTAACAAAACGTTTTGTGATTATTGATTAATGCAAGGCTAAATGGAACAAAAACGCCTGAAAATCCATCAGGAATTCCTGATAATTTGAATCATCAATTATTTATTAAGATAATTTGAGTTTGCATAGTTTATTCGTCGTTAAAGTTGATTCTGTAAGCTTACATATTTTTGTAATATTAATAATTTATGCGCAATTTTTGAAATTTCAATATATTTTTGTATTGAAATTAAAGCTCAAGTCAGCAATCAACTGCCACATCAACTAATCAAATTTGTATTTACCTAATTAACAATTATCTAATTATGATAAAACTAAATTATTGATTGAATGAAATCTTTTCAAGGCGAGGAAACGAGTAAATTAAAGTTGCTATGAAATAAATGCGATTTTTATGATTCTGTTTGTTTTCCCCGTTTAATCAATAGACCAACACTGTTTAATTAATGCTATTTAACAATTAGTTATCAGTCTGAAAGTTATCCAAACTAATCGTGCACAAACTGTTGATTAATTCATTGACTGAACATTTAATCAACTAATCATCTAATTGTTGTTTTTATTTGAATTATAAATCTGATCAAATCTTTACTCAAGTATTGTAATTAATGCTGATTTCAGTTAATCAACTTTAAGTACTAGTAATTAGGTTGTCCTGAATCAAGTCTAGAACTTTGAAAGATCACAATTTAGCTACAGAATCACATCAGATGACAATTGAGAGTGAAATAAAAGACATTAATCTCACAATGAAGACTCAATTGAATCGTACAATTTGTTCAATTAGTTTAATTTAAGCATCAAAGTCTGATTGTTGATCACTCAAAAAGCCTACAGTTTATCATTGAATCATATTTTTACTCTTATCTTTCAGGGAAACCTCTAAGATCAGCTATTAACGATTAAATAATCAGCAAGGTTATCACGTTTCACTCACATTCCTCTTTTCATATCATTATTCATTGATATCATGATATTGATACAGTAACATTGGCACAGTATTTAAAAATAGATCGAAAATGAATCTTCAATTTATTTATTTACCTTTAGATTCAGCCTATGGTCAAAAGACTGGCCTGAAGAAGTTCAAAATGCTTTTAAAGTTAAGGTCACTCTAAGAGTATAACAATGATCAATAATGAGTTGGCTGAGTCAATTTTGCTTATATAATTTGATTGTAATTTATGTAATATTTTTATATGCTCTAATTATGTGTTTTGCTTGTTTTATGATCACAATTAATCGGCTTGTTGTTTACGATAGACCATGACATCTCATCCAATCTAGATGAACTATTCATTGATTGCTGAATTTTTCGTATAAATTCAATCATCCAAAATTTTTGTACTCATTCCAAGTCCAATGAACATAACTTACACAAGTGAATCACGTATGATACAAAATGTCCACATCCAGTCCACCCGTTTTCATATACACAGTGTCACTTCTGTCTGCCATTTGCGGTTTCCTCTTTGGTTATGACACTGGTATTGTCTCTGGTGCTATGGTTTTGATTAAAAAGCAGTTGGATCTGAACGACATTTGGCAAGAGCTGATTATCAGCATAACTCTAGTATTTGCTTGGATATTCAGTCTTATTGTTGGATACTTTACTGATCGTTTTGGACGTCGTCCAGTCATTCTGTTCGCCTCTGTAGTGTTTACTCTAGGCTCAGTGGTTATGGCCATTGCAATGGGCAAGTGGACTTTGCTCATTGGTCGAGCAATTGTTGGTGTTGGCATTGGATTAGCATCAATGGTTGGCCCAATGTACATCGCTGAAGTGGCTCCTAGTAACATTCGTGGATCGCTTGTGACACTCAACAATCTCTTCATTACTGGTGGACAGTTCATTGCTTCTGTAACTGCTGGTTGCTTGAGTTATCTAGATCATGATCTTGCTTGGAGGTAAGCAAGATTCCAATATTTGCTCGAATTCTCAGTCGGTTTTCTTTTTTAAGTCCATGACTTGGAGCTAATGACCGATTGAATTCGTTTATTGGAAATCGTTTCTCTATTATTTTTCAACAATTGTTGATGATCTTGATATTGACTTTAATCGAATTTCTTTAGTCATTGGTTGCCTATGATGTCTATAGAGGTTATTAACAAAAGTCAAATTTTGAAAATCTTTCATTTTCTTCAATTTTTCAATTTTCTGTGTAAAAATTCATTCTTAGCTTTTTTCAACTTATCATTTCATTCCAAATCTATTAATAATAGTTTAGAGATCATTTAAAGAATGATCTTGAAGGTCTTGAGGCTACTGTCACTGAAATATCATTGTTATCTCAAGTTCAACGAAGATAGACAGTTATACTCTCAATTGCTGAATAAACTTTAATCTTCTTTGATGAACTAGATTTCGACTGAGAAATAATAAAATCTCTTTCAAGAGATTCCTTGTTTTGTTTCAATATTGAAAGATTGTGAGATTTCAGCCTCAATAGTATCAGATTCGGGGTTTAATAAGGAAATTCCTGTTTACTCCTTCGCAAGATAATCCTAATCTTGTACTTCTATCGAAATGATGGTTAATTTATCTCATCAACTAACCTTTTAAGATACTCTCTGAGTAACATTTAAACAAACTATAATCCTCATGTTTAATCAATGAACATTATCGTCCTTGGTCGAGTTGCTCAGAAAAATCGCTTTTCGCTATAACAAAAAAATCCCATTCTTAGTGACATTATAATGGCCTTTTACTATAAAAATGTAAATCATTTAAATTGAAAAAACTAATAAATTATGATGAATCAATTGAAATGACAATCTAATGATTTGTCAACCAAGATTCACATAATTTCAATGCATATTCGTTTCTAATATAGCATGAAATTGTTTGAATTTGATTACTAAATCTATTCATTAATGATTATCTGAATATTCAACTTGATTACAAAAATTAATACAGCAATTATTTTGATGATTTCTAGGTTAATGTTGGGTATCGCTGGTATTCCTGCGTTTATCCAATTCATTGGATTCTTCTTCATGCCTGAATCACCTCGTTGGTTGGTCAAGAAAGGCAAAGACGAGCAAGCTAAAGCTGTTTTGTGTCGGATTCGTTCTTCTGAACAAACAGCACAATTGGAACTCGAAATGATCAAAGATAGTTGCATTGCCGAAGAGGAAGCAAATGTTAAAAGCAATGGTGCCAATGTTTTGTCAAAAATATTCTCATCACAACCGTTGAGACGAGCTCTATTGGTCGGATGTACTTTGTCAGCTATTTCTCAATTATCTGGAATCAACACTGTTATGTATTATAGTGCGACAATCATTCAAATGTCCGGTGTTTACGAAGAAACATTGGCCATTTGGTTAGCCGCAGCTGTGGCTTCTGTAAATTTCCTTTGTACATTTATTGGTATTTATTTTGTTGAGCGGACTGGTCGACGTAAACTAACTCTTGCATCCCTGTCTGGTGTAATACTCAGTTTAGCCGTTCTTGCCGCTGGCTTTCAATTGATTGAAAGCGAATCTCCAGCCATTCATCCTGAACCTTTAAATTCATCATTGCCAATTTCATTCTCTGCTAAAATGGACATTTGCTCAATTCAAACATCATGTCGTAGCTGTATCACACGACCTGAATGTGGCTTCTGTTTCTCTGATTACCCGCCGTGGGAGAATGGATCGTGTCTTTTGAGTGCCAAAACAGCTCATTCGGAATGGGACAAAAGTAAATCTCAATATGGAACTTGTTCCAATGGAACGATTGTACCTGAAAAATTAGTTTGGGCTTACGATTGGTGTCCATCTAAATATGCTTGGCTCACAATTATGGGTTTATGTCTTTACTTATTCTTCTTCGCACCCGGATTGGGTCCCATGCCATGGACTATCAATGCTGAAATCTATCCATTCTGGGCTCGTGGTACTTGCAATTCAATATCAACATCTGTCTGTTGGGCTTTCAATCTTCTTGTTTCTTTAACATTCCTTTCCTTGACCAAAGCAATTACCAAACATGGTACTTTTTGGCTTTACTGTAGTTTCGCTATTGTTGGTTGGATATTTCTCATTATTGAACTACCTGAAACTCGTGGAGTGTCTCTTGAGAATGTCGAAGAACTATTCAGAAGACCAAAAAAGAAAAAGGATGAATTGAAGAAACAACCAGTTTCATCTCCCGATTTAGATGCATCTAATAACAACAAAACACCAATTGTAAAATGCTAATGATTGTCATAGCCAGTTCAATGAAAATATGGAAATGAAAACTGACTAGTTTTCATTCAGCGATTGGACGCCAACGAACTTGTTAAAAAAGGTTTTCATAAACTGCGTTTATTTGTTCAAAAATGTATTCATATTTTATTATTTGTATTTTATTACTGCTAATATTGATGTACGAAAAAAGGATTTCTGTAATCAACCTGTTGTTACAATTTTACTAGAAATGCCATTATGATGCATTTCCTTTAATAAATCCATTTATAGAAATGTTGTGAAAATAATTGACTGATCTGCATTTTCCTTAAATTTAAGGATAATTTGAATTCCTTCATTTAACTTTCCAAGTTAGAATTATTTTACATATCTAATGATTAGTAAACCAACAATATTTTCATCATTTTTATTAATTTACTTCAAACCTACAAGGAAAGGTAGGGAACTGGTGCGCTATGATTCGTTATTTGTTACAATATATTATGTTTGAAATTTTAGCCTGAATCTTGGTCTTATCGTTTATTAAATTCAAAAATGATTTATCAAAGGTCTTTAAGTACATAAGCCCTATGGTAAGAAATAACATTAATAAAACGTTATTTTCATAGGAAACGAAATTTTTTAACCTTTTTCGATCATTTACATTGTTAATCATTACTCTAGGAATTATTGATAGCATGATTAGCATGGCATGTAAAATGAGAATCTCAATACTAACCATAAGTTGGTGAATATCTCGATTCGCAATCAAGAATTGCTACCGATAACTGCTCGTCTGGGTTGAGTCTCAACTAAATTATTATCAAATAATTTTTGAATTTGAGAAGTTTGTTGATTAAACCAATAGCTGCATGTGTTACTTCAAGTATGGAAAATTCATTTTCAAGATACATTTATAAATTTATATCCCATTTCAGGATACTTTTGGACTCCTCTGTATATCTAAGAATAAGCAGTTAATCCAGGATTATATGATGACTCGTAATTCACGAGTAAGTCTTCATGGAAACAAATACAATCCTTAAACCTAGAATTGCTGCAAAAATGAGTAACCATATTGAAATGAAACATAATTCGACCATATGCACAGAGTTGGTAATCCAATAAATAAGCATTTGATCTTATTCCAGGTCAAGACTTGCACAAAATGAACCATTAAAACAAAATGTTATTTGTAACTAACTATACTGTTGATCACCTGATGGCGTTAGAATCAGCAAATCAGTAAAACATTTGAATGTAAAATAACGAAAACAAAGATGATATGTTATCATTGATGCAAAGTCTTTCTTCTTTCTTTCTTCTCTCTTCATTGAAACTTTTCATACTCACTCAAATCACTATCATATAATCAAGTTCAAATCTTTACAGTTGTTTCATAGTTTAACGGATTATAGTCAAACTTTGATCTACTAGTGATCAAACTAAATCTATTTAACTCGCTACTTAATTCCATCACATCTTGATCAGTTGTTTTCTTTTTTACTACCTTTAATTCAATTTTCTGGTGCTCAACTGTTCTCAAGTAAAAGCTTCATTTTTTCCCACAATAAGGTAAGTCGATCAATTGTTCAAAATTATTCCAACGGTTTTGATAATTTTCAAGTTGACGATAACGAATCTTATATCAGAATTCTATTGATACACCAATAAACCAAGAAACAATTTGATGTTTAAAATTTAGTATTTCAAGTCGTTTTTCTAACTCATGTAAGTCTAACTTCGCCACCTCATTGTTTTGTCTAATTTGCTTTTGATTGATACTCTGTTACTAATGACATTTGTTATGTGAGGCAGTCAAATTGCCATTTATATTCACGCAGATTTATGAAAAGCTTAAGCTGCCAATGTATATTGTTACCAGTTAATTACCAAAGCTGATTATATGACAGTAATTGAGTAAAATCATTTACACTTGTTTTTTCTTCTATTGCTTGTAAAAAAGATTGCAGATAATTGTATGTCGAATCTTTTGCACCAAACCTTGAATTTATTCGATATGTTCAGCTATTGTTGATTACTTTGCTTGACCATTAACTGGATCCATTTATTCATTACCTAGAGATATCAAGCAAAAGTAAACGAGGAAAAAGTTAGCGTAAGCAAAATTGTGAAAGATTCAGCATTGTTTTTGTAGTGGGCGAAAAAGAGGAACAAATTAATATAAACAGAGAATTGGATTGAGATCAAAAAATTAACAGAAAAATGAAGCAAAACCAGAAAAATATCCAGAAAACAAGCGTTAAGCTATAATTTGAGTATTACTGGATAAATGAAGAAGGAAATAAGCTTAACATTATTCTTAAAGTTATGGTTTTTCAGTGGTAATAATACTGTTAATATGTATATTGGTAATGTTGCTAATTGCCTATTTAGCATCAGGTGATTAAATGTAACTATTGTCATGGTTTAAAATTGTTTCAGATGAATATTGGATTACCTCAGTTACTCTTCTTCACTTTTCAATCTTAGAGTGCAAGCTTTCAATACATTGCAGCAACCGAGTCATTGCCAATATTTTTTCAAGATGTCAGATCAGGTCAAGAAAGATTTGTCCCAATCTTTCAAAGTAGAACCGTTACTACAGTTGTTATGCTGTTTTTCACTTTCATTGGAAGTGGTCCTTATCAAGTAACACCTGACCATGAATTGGAACAGGGTTAAACTAAAACACATTCAGAGCCAAATTTTGGCAAATTGTGAAAACAAAAAGGATGAGGCTGGAGAATTAGCGGGTTAACGGAAAGAACTTGCGTATGTTTATCGTCAAAGTCAACTGCTTTTCGTTGTTAGACTTGTCATAAAAGATAAATCAACAAAAGTTTGCATCTTTCAGCATCATACTCCTTTACTTTTAGTTTAAAGTCGGGGGTGGGTATCACTATCTTTCCTTTATCCTCTTGAAGCCATTATAATGGGAAAGAAAAACATTGAGTCGATCCATTTATAACTCTTCTGGCGAGAAAAAAAGTCTTCCTGAATAAGTTTATGTTTAACCCAAAAATAAAACAACAGCAGCTCTTTCTTATCCATGAACTGTTAACAGAGAGCAACTGGCAATCATAATACACAAGGCTTTTCTTCAGATTGAGCGCAAAAAGCGAGAACCAATATCACATCCAATGAAACCAGACATGACGAAAGACTATTTGTTTTAATTACACAGCCATAGATAAAGTTGTAGATATAAATCCATAGATGATTGATTCAGACAGTTGTCCCAACTGATAATTGATCTTGGTTCAATTTTTTTCCATTCAGTTAAATCTTTACCACATAGCTGTTTGAAATTGAGTTGATGAAGCAATAAATGATCCAGGCGCAACAGATAGGCATAATACTAATCAATCCTATTATAAGCCAAAATAACCCATCAACTGTCAGAATTGATCGGTGGCAAACAAAACTGAGTAAAGTGAAAATATATGCAAGAATATGATGATGAGACGAAAAACAGAAGGTGAAGATCAGTATCTTAGTTCTTTGGTGGAGCTCTTTTTTGACTGTCATCCATGAGAAATGATCTTGGAACTGAGAAAGAAAAGAAAAGCAAAAATCTTGGTTACAAATCAATCGTATGTCAATTATATCAGACAATTTTTCAAGGTAAAATAATCAAATCCAAAAGGATAAAGATACAAGGTCTAAAGAAAGCTATGTACCAAAGGTTCTTGTACAGAGCAATATGTTTATACGGTGTATGTTTAAACGACCTAGCGCTCGTGTAGATCAAAAAGACCAAGTAATTTCCCGCTATGTTTAGCCATCTCAGAATGGTCAGTCAGTCATTTATTTGGTGATTGTTTAAATCAATACATTAGACGTTAGTTAACCTCAATAAGAAATAAACAATTATTTCCATCGTATTTCATGGTCTGTCATCAGTTTCTGTGACTTAAATATTCTGTCATCTGGTTAGTCGCCCGATCCAATTATTTCTTTTTCAAATTTTCTTGTACAAAATTTACAGTCGTTCCGATATTGTATCCATTCTGAGAAAGAAGTTTACTGCAAGAATACTGAATGCATGGATCAGGTGCATCTAAGAGCACATTGTAGTGTTTCTGGTACTTACCTCATCTAACATTTTAAACATAAAAGATGAAAATTCAGCTCGTTTACAGAACAGCCTGAGTGAGGGATAACACCATTTGCGAATGCTCGTTGTTTAGAAAAACACAAACAAAAATCATTTGGACGCCAAATTATAGCTTACAAAACAAGCTCTATTAGTAGCAGACAGATAAACAGACAGAGGGGAAAAAAGTTGAAGGCAGGTTAAACAGAGATACAACATAGAATGAAAGAGAACTAACGCTTGTAAATCAATTTAACAGTAATATTTAACCATCTATAAATCTAATAAACAATTGTATAATACTTACTTGACGATAGATGATTACATTTACAATTAAAAATAATTTGTATGCCAAAACATTGAAACTGAAATTTTACCAATACATTTAAAAACCAACAATGACTTGCTCACCATCTCAAGTTGCTTGTAAGAGTTCAAAAAATCATTGTGATTTAAAGCGCCAAAAGAGTGAGCTAATCCCGCGTAAACTTGCTTCATTTGTTCCTCTTCTTTTCACTTGTCTTTTTGCTTCTTATTTCAATTGTTAACTTTTCTTGGTTTTTCTTTTTCTTTTCTCAGTCCATCAAAACTTCATTATGGCTGGTAGATGGTTAGCTCAGACAACCAACCATGTTGAATCTAAATCTACTTGTGTCACTACAGTTAATGCATTTGCCAAGTTCAAGCAAATGGACATGGAAACCAAAACCACAGTGTGAGTAACTTTTTAACCTTTAACCTTACATTCAAACTAACTTGAAATTGTACTGACGAACAGTCAGACATAGATTATATAACATATTGAGGTCAATATTTTTGGATCAAATTGATTCTGGAATTGTGCTTTTAATAAGGGATACTTTTTAAAGGTGTCTGCATTTTGAAATTATTTTAAAATGTAAATGCTTTGTCTTCGTAGAGGCTGTTTAATGTGTCAGTTTATTTCACACAAGTTCATCTAAAACTTATGATATTCATGTTAATCTAGCATCTCTTCTCTAACTCTTGGTTTTCCTTCTAACTCCGACTTTTAGGACAAGAACAAGGTTTGGCCCGGTTGGACGAAGTGGTACTGATGTTAAAGATATGCTGCTACGCTGGTGTCAAACAAAAACTTCCGGGTACCCGGTAAGTAAAAAGTTTATAAAACAGATGAAAAGATTTTTATTGAATTTTGAGAGCTTAGACGGATCAATAGAGTTTGATGTATACGGATAAGATTGGAAAGTTATCAAGGAAATGCTAAAAGTAGAAAAATCAAGCCAATACTTGTATTGATTGTTGATCCTTCTCATCATGCCCATCTTTAAAAAGCCAACAATTAAAACTCCACCCGCACATCAAGCTCAAGGTGATGACAGATTGGAAATACGGATTACAAATTGACTTGGTTCTTATTGCTGTTTTTGTGAACCAAAATGTTACACCCTAGGGTGGCGTTGCAAGGTTTCCTCATAAAGTGCAATTGTTTAAATTTTCAACAGTTCTGCTTTATAAAGAATCCTTAGCAATAATTTTTCTTGAATGGATGATACTGGATTAGCGCTTAAGTCTGACTATTTTCATGAGGATAATTCACACGCAGACCTCTTAAATACTGAAAAACCTATTAGAATATTTGAAATATTGAAGAGTTTTGTATATTGAAAAATCTCAAATCCAAATCATAATTCTAAAAGACATTATGAGTTACATGTAGACATGGAGATACGTGATAAATCTATTTGATGATATTTTAAGGATTAATGATTGGACATTAAAATTTGAGAAAAATTATGGTTTGATTGTTTTAAAATTGGAATGATTTTATCTTGATTCATAGAAACTATTCAGTGTTTATTGAGAACCTTGAGCTTTTTATCAATTCTATCAACAATAAACAAAATATTATCTTATTTTAGGCTGAGCTTGAAATCATCCAATAAAACTGATCATTACCAGGATTGCAAGAAATAGTTTCACAAAGATTTGGTTTTTTTGTTTTTATTAAAGCTCTAAGTTCAGAGAAGGGAATATTCTGTGACAATTTAGATATTCACAATAGAAATAAATTCCGAATGAATTGTTGATTCCTTATTTTTCATGCCATCACTGAAAAATAAAGCTTATCTGCATGCGATAACCTTTAGAATTCAATTTGCATAGATTATTGTGTTTGATCATTCTAGGAACTTTTCATTTAATTTATTTTTAGTAAATAAATCTGTTTTAATTACATCATGACCATGATCATCACCAGGCTCTTGGATTCATCTGATAAAATTTGTTTAGGTCATGTTTCTTTCAAATATAATATTTTGATTGTTTATGTGTGAATTAGTACAAAAATAATATCTTTTTAAATGACGTTTATTCATCATTTATTGCAAAAACTAAACCTTTTCTTTCTATTCTTAGCATGTTAATGTTGTAAACTTTTCCTCTTCATGGTGTGATGGGATGGCCTTTTGTGCTCTTATTCATCATTATTATCCAGATGCATTCGACTTCAGCACTTTGGATCCCAAAAATCGTCGATCTAATTTTGATTTGGCCTTTAAGACTGCTGAGTAAGTAGAAATGGCTGTAATTAATGTTTGTTTTCTTTACTCTAAAATATTAATCACCTAATGTTAATATTTTTGCTCTCCCTCTTGGTACAGAGAAAAGGCTGATATTGCTCCCCTTCTTGATGTTGATGATATGATATTGATGAAAGACAAACCAGATTGGAAATGCGTTTTCACATACGTACAAAGCATGTACAGGAAGCTGAGAGAACTTGACTATAGAGAAATTCAGGATTGAATTTAAATTCATTGTGACATCAGCATTCGATTCATTCATCTCTCATCCCAACAAAAGTATGCGTAAACGACGAATTGTTTTCAGAAATGTAATCAAAATAATTGCTAATAAACGATAAACTCTGTTTTGAGGTTCAAGGTAAAAGAAGAATCGATAAATAAATTGTGATTGGAGTATCTCCGAGTATAACATCAAATATAGTGGCGAATTTCGATGAACAGACCAAAAGATGGACAAAAACAGAGATGTGAATGGATAGTTTGTTGGCTCTTTTTCAATCCAACATGCAAACAAAAAGCATGGGAAATTGGATTCCTTAGGTAGGAAAAAAGCAATATGAATGATAAAAGTGATGAGGGGTGGATGATTATTATCAGAGAGAAAGGTAAAATGAAACCGCAATATGTTAAAAGGGATTCTCAGGCTTTGGATGATTACATTTTGTTCAATTTTAATTGTTTACCTTTGATTTTATTTCACAAATATTATTTACAAATCAATTTTTCTCATGATTTATAGTCAAATATAAATAACTTATTGTTAACAGCAATTAACATTTAAATACAAACATTCAAGAATCACTCAGGTTTTTCATTAAGATGATTTCAAATTGCTTTTACAAGCAAGCGAGGTGGTCCCGTCTTTGGTGACAATTAATTCTAAACCAACTTCTTGATCATCATTTGTATTATCAAATTTTTCCAGATTTGTTTCTTCGACTAATTGATTAATTAATTGAACAGAATCTATACGAGTTGAGTAACAACCATTATCTGCTGGTATGTCTCTAATATCAAGTTTCAATTGAGTTGTTTTTTCATCATCAATGGCACTATTAGGACACCCGTCGGCTAAAGATGATGAGCCATCACCATCCAGGTTGCTTGTTTTACCCTCTCTACCAACTAAAGCTGTTGATAAATCGGATAATGAATTATTTTGAGGTGGAGGATGAATCGGAATATTGGAAGATGGTCTTTTAAATAGCGGATCGCCAAAGAGTAGGGTCATTCCTATGGTCACCTTGAGTGTTGAATTATCTTGCCTATAATTTTTGTTGTCATAACCTTCCAATAAATATCTTTTGGTTATTTGCCCAGAGCCTGCGAATTCTGCTAGATCCAGTTCGACAAAGCCTAGCTTTTGAGATGAGCGACCTCCTTTAACTTCCTAAAAAACAAGAAAACAAAAATGGATAAGATGAAATTGTATTTCGGTTTTAGTATCGAAAGAAATGGTTGTTGACAAGGAATTGTTGTACCATACCTTACGTACGGATAATCTAAGAATAGTCGAGTCAAGAACACCATTAGACGGGTTAGCACTCATTTTACAAATGAAACTAGAGCTACATCTCCATTTAACTTGATGATCTTTTACCTCTTCTCTGTTATAAAAAGAAATGATGAGATGGATACAGAAAGGGAAAGAGAAATAGGGATTGATACACGTAAGAAAATTGAGTAAGTACTTTTTTAAAACCATCAACAAAGATTATGAGATAAAATTTAACAATATTTAGAAAAAGTGATCTCTAGTCCTACTGTCAGATCATTTTCTTCTAATAATTATATTCAATAATGATTATATACATAACACTGATAATACAAATATTATCTCAGATGCATTGTTCAATCATCTCATGAATCTGAATCGATGATCATAAAAAAGAAAAAATCAATTGCTGGAGTAATTTACTTACCTAGGAGATATAAAACGGAACGAGCCTCCATCGAGAAGACGACATTTAATGAACATTTGTCCACTAACAAATGGCACTGAGCTCAATTCTTCTAAAGTCAATGAGACAACGAATTTGTACTTCTTTTTTCTCATCAAAAATGTCATCATAAACTATTTGAAAAACACTGATCTTAACATCAACAGAAATATTGAAAACGGTAAGGATAAAAATGATGACAGAAGAAGAAGCAGCAGATATAAAAAAAATTAACAGGTTAATGAGCTTGGTGATGTAGGTAAACATAAAACCTTAAAAATAAAAACAAATAACAGTCTGTTAACAGAGTTATTCAATTTAAACAGCAAAATTCGTTAAAATAACAGTAGAGTCTATTTATAAGACATTTTTACGGTAAATGAAGCGGTCTTTTAACATTAAATAGTCACTTTAAATTCCGGTTAACAAACAATTTTTGTAATTCTGTAAACATTGAAACGATGAGATTCCGAATGAGCTGAAACGACAATAGAGAGATAGATAAATTAACCAAACTGTATTGAATGACTATAATTAGTAATTACGGTCATTTGTCCTGATTTTTAAAGATGCTTTGGTTACTCGCCTGTTTCACTCATTTAATAGGTAACCGTGGTTAACTCCACCCCAACCTGAAAATAACCGGTTACTTTTTTTACCGCCAAATTTGAAAATCACAACCAGACTAAATAACGTCTCTTAGCGCCATCTAGAGGTTGGTAGAAAAATTTGCTTAATAATATGAAGCGAAAGCGATTACAGATAACAGGTCAACCCTTTTACATTTATTTTTAAAGTGAATAAGGTCATTGCTAAAAATTTTTCAAATTCTTTATCGAACTTGAACTGAAATTTGACCGTTGATAAAGTAACCGGTTATTAAACATCTGCATAATTTCATTTAAAGTAGATTCGCAAGTCAATGAAACCAGTTAATCTAACTTCGGAGATTACTTAACAACTTACGGTACATTTTAATTTGTTAGTCACTAGTCAATACGAAATAGACGCGGACTAGGTCAACATTTAAAGTCAACTCAAAACCATATAATCATCTAATGATCGATGAATAAGACTTTAAACATGTTTCTCTATTTAACGTCGTTTTTTGTTTTTAAAACAGTGCCCATAAACGTGGCTGGTCAACACAAAGTATTGCGGAGGAAAAAAATTGGATATTGTATACAAATTATAATAGAATTGCCACTGATTCGAAGAAACACCTAGAATTACTGAGGATCGAAAACATGGTTTAATCAAGATTAAGTCAATGGTTTAATTTTCATTAATCAGTCAATTAATTCCTCTTCCACTTTGCCGTTTGGGATTAAAATGCTCAACAATGTTAACTTTGGATCAAACTGCCATCTATTGGTGAAGAATTGAAATATTTTCAAACTAAAAATTTTCAACTTCGATCTCAACCAAAACTAAATCCTCAACACTCCCGCTCGTTTCTCTATTCTAAAGTACTTCATTGCTCTAACTCTAAATTTTCATGTTAAGATGTCACCTTTCATGCATATGTTTTCCTTGTGAAATAAATAAATGATTAAGAAAAGATTTAAATCATAGGCTTCCGTGAATTGAATTAAGTTGAAGATCATTCGATTATGATTCCCATTTCATTGACATTACCTAGAACCTTTTTAATACTTTTTAATTTTTGATGCAAGTCGATAATATCCAGGAGATATGTTTTGGATATGTCCAGGTGTGTTCATCAGTTAGGGAAATATGATTATGAGGCAACGCGTATATCTCATGGTATAACAAGTAGCAACCAGAGTAAAAAAGTTTCAGATTATGTGCTCATAAAATCAGTTGAATGATCATATGACCTCAAAAACGATTCAGTTTTGATTCACCTTTATCACTTTCTATTCGTGGAAATCAAACAGAAAATTCAGAATAGTTCACAATGATATCGGAACTAAATTTAATCTACTGAACTCTAATGAAAGACTGAAAATCAACAATCACGCCATTTGTTAAATAAATATCTGTAAATAAGCCATTTCATAGAGGCTCAACTAGAGCATCTGAATGTTTTCAATTTCATTGCTTTTGTAAATAAGTCATTCAAAGACAGATGCTTTACCATTTACTCAAGTATAATAGCCTTTTCAAGCTCATGATACTAAGCATTTGGGGAAAAGAAATTAAAACAGACAGAATCTTGTTTTGCTCAAATAATCAAATTACTGTTCAAGTTGATCATAAGCTGAATGACTGAAAATAAGATTCAATGTAATCATCGGTTAATAAAAAGTCATCATCATGATAAAGGTTCATCAACAGTGTTTCATCTTCAATAGTCTTTTCCGAAAAATTTCTTGATTGAGATCTTTTCGGATGAGCTTGTACCAACAATTCAATATAAAAATCAAATCAATTCTCATTTCGATCATCGATTGGTTGATCAACTCATGAAAACGATTCAAAAGAGGCAAAAACGTGCAAATTTTACGAACAATTCTGAATTGCTATTTGAACCTAAAACATGAGTGAAAACAACGAATATCTTGGCATTCATCTTGTTTTGGAATGGAACTAAAAACTCAGTTTTCATAGTTTGACTCAACAGTCGACCAAGAAATATGAAAAGCTCGACGAATTCTCGACGAAATTTACCAAATTCAAATCTTGAATATAATGTTGATTCAGTTTTATATCGAGCTGATCAGGAATAAAATGAAATTTAAAGTTTTCCATTCGTTAAAGTGGAGTGCAAGAGAAGGGTGAAAATGTGGTTAAATGTACAATTAGCTCGAATTTTAATGATTTTTGTCTAATCTGACATTTACCGTTATCTTACTGAAGTTGGAAATGAATAAAAAGTAACAAAAATGGTGTTTTAAATGAAAAATTGGACAAACATTATAGTGATATTGTTCAATGAAATGAGATAAATGCGCTGATTGAGTAAGCGCAAGAGCATCTTATCCTTAGTTGAAGATCCCGGTTAACATTAGCCTTTCCACTGCTCCATCTTCATCCTCATCTCGATCATCATTTTCATCATCATTGCTCACTTTGTTTCCTAACCAAAGGGAGTCCATTTCTCACTTTGATAGTCACTGTTTTCCCATCACTTTCATTGAACACCGTAAAGGCAACAACAATATTTATCCATCTGATTCTTCATCTCTGTCCATCTTCCAGTCTGTTTATCATCATCATTATCATTCCCTCAACTTTATCTCTCCTCAATCATCATCATCACTTACCCATCTTCCTCGAACATCACTTTTCATTCAACTTTTCCTTTTCCTTCCTCTTTCTTTATCCATGTTTTACTCACAAAAATGTTCAACGGAAACCGGCAATTATACCAACAACAACAACAACAAAATCATCAACAATAACGATAATAACATCAACAAAACCAAAGCCAATCAAAAACAGTCAAACCAAATTTGATTTCATCCATTGAACTATCAAAAGTTGATTGAATGTGCGGCTCAACACTAACATCGTTATCATCCCAACCAATTTCATCGGTTAAACTTTTCAAAAACTTCATCTTCATCGGTAAGTGATCGATCAATTAATCCCTGAAATCCGTTGGTCGTTTCCTCGATTCAGATCAAAAACTTGAATCGACATTAACATTGAAACATTTTTTCGATGAAAAATTTCCAAGATTCAAATGAACTCGAAAGTGATTAAACTTCAAAAATCAAAATTTCATTTCATTTTTGGTGTAAATTTTGCAAAACTTCATGCAAATGAATTTCGAAATTTATGAAAAGATAATTTGAAGAGGAATAAGTCTTCGAATCGAAGTGATTACTAATACTTCGGGCTCGAAAAATTAAAAGGCAAAACTGAAGTAAAATGATGAAAGTTGATTAACTCTGGAAGCTTATGAAGAGCATAATTTATGCAAAAAGCCTAACACTGTTAATCAAATTTAGTCTCAAGTATATATTAAGTGCATTGAAAAGAGTATTAAATCTATTCATTGATTCAAAAGTTTACCTTGAAGGTGTTTGTAGACCTTAATGTATATTAATAATGAAAGTTTGATCAAACACTTGATACGTTTTTGTTGTTTTTTACGGTTGTTGATAGCATTTACTCCATTATTTTTGCTGCCTTTCACCCTAAGGTCATAATTCACCTCAAGTCTTGACGATAAAAACTGTTTCTTCTGCCCAAAGGAAGGTTTTCAAATAAAGTAGATAAACATTGACTGATAAAACTGTTTCAATCACAAGCCAAGGGAGTAAAGTGATGATGAAGATGAAGACAGAAAAGAAGAGAAAAAAAGGAAGAAAAAAAGACAAATAAACTCTCAAGTGCTCTTTTTGAGGTAAACCAATGGTAAACATTTTACTTATTGTACTTCAATCATGATCATCTTCATGATGAGATCTTTTTCCAGACTCTCAATGAGTAAATGTGATGATACCTTGTTGATACACAACAATATACTTTAGTCGACTGTTCATTATTTAATAAGCAACTCTTAATAAACTTCATTATCTCATTGAAAAGCCTTTTGTTTTAAATTTCAATAGTTATTAGCATATTAAAGTTATTGAAACTTTGAATAAAACTGTAAAAACAAAGAGGAAAACCTTTTGTTTGTTTGTAATATCTTTTTACCTTTTCAGTTTCACCATCAATACAACAACCCATTGGGAGTTACTAGACTTGTTATTTCACTCTCTTTTTGTTATTCAACGGAAATTTAATCAGGAAAATGCAATTAGGATAAAAGCGTTCCCAGCATTGGGAGTGAAAATGAGTTTATAAAAAAGTTTACCTCAATGATATTAGTCCAATGGAAAAGAAAATACCTCAAAGGTAACTTTTTTTCTCTCTTTTTGCTCTTCGTCATAATAGGCCAATGTTAATCAATTTTCAAAGTTATTAATGTTTACTCGGTGTCGCTCCAACAATCCAGTTTGTCGAGTTTCAGTGAAAAACAAGAGACAAAAATTGATAACCTTTCATAATGACTTTTGCCTGATCAAGTTTCATCTTGATCGGTTGGATATTGACTTTGAAAGTGTCAGATTGGTTTACTTTAAATATTGATTTGAAATAACAGTAATTACATTCTGAGCTGAGTTGAAGTTAAGCTCTTGGAATAGACTCTGGAATAAACATTTTTGTGATTCTTAAGCGATGGAAATTAATTTTGAGAATTTCGTAAAAGGTTTGAAAATTGAGAAACAGATTTGTTTTGCATTGAAACATCAATGAAAATCTGGGAATTTTGTTGGTTCTCAAGGATGGAAACAATGTATTTGTCAAACAGAAAATGTTATTGATTAGAATGAACTTCGAGGATTGAGGTTCAATTTGTTCTGATAAAACTGTAACATTCAATTTCGAAGTGAGTTGCCAACAAATTCTCAAATTTCAGGTGATTTTAAACTTGACCAGTAACCTTAAGAAGAAATTTCAACTTGATCTGAAGATATCAGATTCGAGTTTCATCTGAAATCTGCTTACAAGTTGCTTGTTACAACTATCGAATAACAACAAACTTTCGAAGCAAAAATAACTTTAAATGTTACTTTGAAGATCAACATTTATACAGTTTAACCAGAAACACAGTTTTCTTGTGAACAGCAAAAGTATCTTTAGCTAATTTGTTTGCATTCAGAGCTGAGTTACAGAACTCAAACTAAAATTTAGAAAATAATTATCTCAACTCAATGGAAATAGTAACTTCTGGAAATGGAAATCTGTTGAATTCTGAGAAACAAGTCTTATGACAACGGGTTACACTAAACATGGAGTTAGCGAGAAATTTTTCAAGAAAATTTTTGTGGAAACAGAAAAGGTACAAACTGAGCATCTGAACGGTAAATGTTATCAAATGTCGGTGACTTTTATTGGGATTAATTCATTTTGTTCATTTCAAATTGGATTAACCTTTTGTTTTATGTTCGAAATGAATTGAAAGATCATGATTATCAAATTGAATTGTCAAATAAATTATATTAACATTGCAACTATTGATGTTTTTATCTCTTCTTTTCCTGCAAATTGAATGTTTCTTATGGATAAATCAGTTTCAAGACAAGATAAATGATTTTACCCTTGCAACTGAATAAGAAAATGGAGAGTTTTATATAACTTATATGAAACTCTGCAGGGAATTAAAATGCAAAACAAGTTGAAGATGAGGATGAAAATGTTGGTGATGATAAAAAATGAATGGACAAAAGGAATGAAAAGAAATGCTTTATTCAGATGATAATAGTTATTTGATATTATTTCAGGTCAAAAGTGAATTCTTAGTTATATTTATGTAGCCAAGTTAGCTTAGGTAATGCAGATAAGATGATGATCTGAGGAAGATGCAGGAAGAGAGGAAAAAGGTCAATCAGTCTCACCAGGGAATGTTCATGATGCTCAGTTGATCATGATAAATGGTTATCACTTTAATTATAATGCACTTTTTATTCGTTTTCAACGCACTCAACAGAGAGAACAGATTGACTTATCAAAGTCGAGAAAAAGTTAAATTTTAAATGAAATATAAGATGAGACTCCGTTAATCGATGGTCTTCTTGTACTTCGAACAACTCGTAGCTTCATCAAAAGTAATGAACAAATCACTCGACAAATCGGTGCAACAACAAGATAAAGAAACAGATTCAAAATGCTCAAAAACTAAGTACATTCGAAATGGCGAAAATTAAAATTGAAAATGGGCGAAAATTGAGTTTCTCAGAAATTTTTCCATCAACTGAAACAGCGAAACTTAAAGAAATGGCGTAAATCAGAAAGTTTTCAAGTTCCATCTGATGAAAGAAGTTAAACTCGATTTTGATTCGTACTTGAGTTCGGACGAAGTTTGATTAAAATTGTTATTTCTATCATTTAGTAGATTATTAATTACTTTCCTCATTTGCTTGGAGTTTACATCTTCAGAGTGGTCTGAATAAATTATTCAACAAACATAATCAATAGAAAGATTATGAGCAATAAGTCGAGTTGAAATGTGATATCATGTTATGAATGATTTTACATTTCAATATTCTCATGTTTTCTGTTTACCTGAACATTTTCCGCTATTATTTACTCTTGATATTGGTCAAAATTTTGTTAGTCTCTTCATTGGATCTTCTGGACAAACAATTATCTGAATTACTTTTTACTTTTTTGTTCATGTTTTTATCATGTTCAACTCTCAATGGACCTTGTCATCAGTCTGGGTCAGTCTTGACTTTCATCAACTTTCAACATTTTACTCGCCAATAACATTAAATGCAATATTTTCATCCAACTTTTACTTTTTCCCATCAACTTTGCCTTTTAATACATCAGTTAACTGATACAGAAATGATGAGCAAAGAAAATATCATTTTTACCAAAAAAATGTTATTCTTATCAAATGTTTAACTTGGAGTAAAATCCCATTTTTGAGCCAAAATTCACTCCATCAATTTATAGCAAACAAAGTTGACCTTTTCATTGAAAACGGTTAACATTGAATTTAAAAGTTAAAGTAATTATAATTTGTTGAATAAATATTTAATGTTAAGGGAAAATTGTAACAATTAATTGTTTGCAAAATGAATAAAAGAAGAAAATCAATGATAAAAATGTTCATCAACTTGAAATGTCAACTTGAACAAGCTGATAATTGGCTTTTCAGGTGATTTATAATATCATGAAAAATTATTCATTTAGAAGTCTTTTTCTTCTCATAAAAACAAATGAAATTGAAATTTACATTGAATTATAAATAGATGTTAAGATTCATTTGAATGGTTAATTGAGTGAATCATGAATCACAATTTCAGATTAAAGGTAAACCCATTGAAAAGATTTCACTTTTAATCGGATTGTTTAATCAACTAATAGCAATCAATTTGAGCTTTAATTTTACCTAAGCTCATCACACCAATTAACTGAGTAAATGTTGGATTAAAAGGGAAACCATTTTTTGTCAAAAGTCGAATCAACTGTTTCAAGTATTTACATTTTTATCAGCATTTAAATTAACTTCATCTTCTGTTAATAATCACTATTAACCATGAATCTCTATCAACAATCAAATTGATCGTTTTCATGGTTTTCCTTTGCCTTCTTCTGTAAACATTGAGCTTGTCATGTAAAGTCTCATGAGATGAGCAGATGATGAGGATAAAGATGAACTTTTCCCTTCTCTTGTGCTTCTTGAAAATTGATCATCAACACAAAATCTCATCATGAAAAAGGCAAACTGATAATCAAGTTAAGATGCAAACCATATTTACCCAGTCATCATCATCATAATCATAAATAAAGTCAACCAGACTCTTTTTTGTGCCTTAATTATTTTACTTTATATTAACATGCCAACCCAAACCTATTATTATTTTGAGTAAATGTTGGTAACATCAATCTTGTTGAATCGTTCAATGATCTTGCTTCAATAATCGGTTGACATTGAAATCGACTTGTAATTGAATAAATTAAAAATGAAATTGTTGCCTGTGTGTTCATTGCAATTGCTTTTTTCTGACATTCTTTTCAAACTCAATTCAGGTTTTAATCAGTGAAAGACAAAAGGCACAAGG